CACCCTAAAGCCCTGAAACCCTAACACCCTAAAACCCTGAAACCCTAAAACCCTAAAACCCTAAACCCTAAAACCCTAAACCCTCAACCCTGAACCCTAAACCCTCAAACCCTAAACCCTAAACCCTAAACCCTAAACCCTAAACTCATAGTTCTTCCCAAGCCGAGGCTCCATGAGCTGCGGCCTGAGCATGGTGGGATGCCAAAAGCCCTTGGTCTCCAGCTCCTCATGTGATGCAGGCTCCTCGGAGTAGGGTTTAGGGTTTAGGGTTTAGGGTTTGGGGTTTAGGGTTTAGGGTTTAGGGTTAGGGTTTAGGGTTTAGGGTTTAGGGTTTAGGGTTTAGGGTTTAGGGTTTAGGGTTTAGGGTTTAGGGTTTAGGGTTTAGGGTTTAGGGTTTAGGGTTTAGGGTTTAGGGTTTGGGCTTTAGGGTTCCGGATTCAGGGTTTCGGGTTTAGGGTTTAAGGTCTAGCTCGGCCACAGTCGGGGCAGCTGAACGTCTTCTCAAGGTGTGCCTGTTGAACTGTCAAAGTGGGGTACACACCCTGAGCACAGCAGCCCCGAAACCAAAAGCAGAACCCCAACACCAACTTCAAGAACAGCAAACCCCAACCCAAACCCAACAAGGTTTAAACAAGGATTGGAAGGACCAGTGCGACCAGCATCTTGCCTCACCAGAGACCTTATCCTGTTGGTGGGGTTGTGACGTACCAAGTCTTGGCGCTGGGAAACTCTACAGCCCTACAGGCCACCCTAGCCCTAAACACTAAACCCTAGACCCTAGACCCCAACCCCTAAACCCCTAAACCCCTCAGCTCTAAACCCTAAACCCGAAACCCTAAACCCTAAACCTTCCCCAACCTTTATATCCAGGCCACCTTGGCCTCCAGCTCCTCCGCGTCCTTCGCAGACGGAGGCGGAGTGCAACACACCTCGGAGGTTCACGCTTTGGGGGGTTTAGGGTTTAGGGTTTAGGGTTTAGGGCTTAGGGCTTAGGGTTTAGGGTTTAGGGTTTGTGTGGGCCTAGCCGGCCCAAGCCCTAATCCCTAGACTCTAAACCCTAAACCCCGAAATCAAACCTCAAACTAAGGCCCCTGAAGCCCTGCAAGCCCAACAACCCTAAACCCTAAACCCTAAACCCTAAACCCTAAACCCTAAACCCTAAACCCCTAAACCCGAGTAAGTGCCTACTCTGGGCTTTTAGAAGCTGTAAACCCCCTGTACCCCTAAACCCTAAACCCTGTACCCCTAAACCCTAAACCCTAAACCCTAAACCCTAAACCCTAAACCCTAAACCCTAAACCCTTAACCTTAAAACCCTAAACCCTAAACCCTAAACCCTTAACCTTAAAACCCTAAAACCTAAAACCTAAACCCTAAACCCTAAACCTTGTAACCCTAAAACCTAAAACCTAAACCCTCAACCCCGTCAACCCCGAGATTCTTTCCGAGGAACTTCCTCGACGTCTTGCGTCTGAAACTGCAGCTCCCAAAGGAATCCTGTGGATGAGGGTTGTGGTGTTTCGGGTTTCAGGGGTTTAGGGCTTGGGGATTCGCAGTTTAGGTGTTTAGGGCTTGTTGTTTCGGAGTTTCGGGGTTTAGGGTTTAGGTGTTTAGTGTCTAGAGGTGTTTAGGGGTGTAGCGTTTCGGGCGTATGGGTCTCGGGTTTGGGCGGTTGGGCTTTTACGTGTTCAAGGGTCTAGAGTTTAGGGCGTAGGTGTTAACTATTCCTGGACAGGGCACGCCAGCAAAAATTATGATTCTTGCTGTTTCCTGGGAATTAGCCCAAAATTAAAAATCATTTCCAAGTACCCCTAAGTTAAGGGGGTGTAGGGTTTAAGTGTAGGGTCTTTAAATACCCGGACTCATGGGCCAGCGCGGCCCTTGGGACCCCAAAAACCTTTCTGACTGTTTCGTCTCTTTACATAGGGTTTAGGGTTTAGGGTTTAGGGTTTAGGTTTAGGGTTAGGGTTTAGGGTTTAGGGTTTAGGGTTTAGGGTTTAGGGTTTAGGGTTTAGGGTTTAGGGTTTAGGGTTTAGGGTTTAGGGTTTAGGGTTTAGGTTAGGGTTTAGGGTTTAGGGTTTAGGGTTTAGGGTTTAGGGTTTAGGGTTTAGGGTTTAGGGTTTAGGGTTTAGGGTTTAGGGTTTAGGGTTTAGGGTTTAGGGTTTAGGGTTTAGGGTTTAGGGTTTAGGGTTTAGGGTTTACAGTAGAGTTTAGGGTTTAGGGTTTAGGGCGCCAGGTCTTTGGTGTAGGTGCTTGGGTAGAGGGTCAAGGTCAGGGCTTCCATCAGCCCTAAACCCCAAGCCATACGCCCGCAACTATGGGGTCCAGGAGGGTCTAGGGTTGAATCTCAAGGGCAACGGGAACACTGTGGCACACACCCCCTCCCCTAAAACAAAAGGAGAGAGAGAGAGAGAGAGTCACCGCAGGAAATTATCAGGTAGACACTAAGGGAATACTTGGGCCTTAAAGTACCTGCTATACAGTATACAGAAGCTGTGGGGCCCAAGTATACAAGAATGAGGTACATCGACCCTTAGGGAAACCCCTACACCCTACCCTATAAACCCTAACCCCTAAACCCTGGGCTTCTCTTTCCGAGGGTCCCCTAAGATGTTTGAGTGGTCGTTACACGCTACACCCCTCATCCCTTTAGCGCCTACCGCTCTCTCAGCCCTACTGGGCCAAGAGCCCACGGAAACAACAGCAGAAGCCTAAACCCTAAACCCTAAAACCCGAATAACACCTCATAACCTAAAACCCAAGAACCCAAATGCCCCAAATCCCCAAAACCCAAAAACACAAATAATTACCCTGAATCCCTAAAACCCTAAAGCCCTAAAGCCCTAAAGCCCTAAATCTAAAAGCCCCCCCCCCCCAAAACAAAAAAAAAAACATCAAAACTTTAGAGCCCTAAAAATCTAAAAACCCTAAAATCCTAAAATCCTAAAACCCTAAATTAAAACCCTAAACCCTAAATCTAAAAGCCCCCCCCCCCCCCAAAAAAAAAAAAAAACATCTAATTGAGGCATTGAATCGGTAGATGCCGCTGACCACATCCTGCTCACCATCCTCATTCGCCTCTTCAAGCAAAGGGGTTTAGGGTTTAGGGTTCAGGGTTTAGGGTTCAGGGTTTAGGGTTTAGGATTTAGGGTCTCTATAGAGAAACTTGGAAGCCCTTTTCACTTCGCAAGTAGGGTTAGTAAGAAACCTATTAGGGTTTCGAGAGGATACTGAGTAGACGTACCAAGTCAAAAGAGCTTCTAAGTAAACTTTACTCCAAACGACCGTAGTAGGACTGGTTCTCCCTTTTTGCACGGGCATAAAGGCTGCTCTAAAACGTAGGTTTGATGCTTGACAGGCTGGGGTTTCAGGCTTGGGTTGAACTCTGAAGTTGGCATGTTCCCCCCTTATACTAACAGCCCTTGATAGGGATTATAGTATCCCTATTGAAACCCCAACTAAGGACTGTTAGGAAAAGAGGGAACATCCCAACTTTGAAGCGCAGGCGCAGGTTTTGTGGGGCAGTCGGCTTGTTGAGATCCGGCTCTCATTCAACAAAGCCCGGCATTTCTTCGGACGTTCAGGGTTTAGGGTTTAGGGTTTCGGGTAGTGGCCTGCTACTTCCGGATGCTCCAACGAGTAGATACAGGTCCCCTTATCCAGGAAACTCCCTAAACCCTAAACCCTAAACCCTAAACCCTAAACCCTAAACCCTAAACTTTGGAGCAGCATCCGCCTGCTGCACAATGGGCAAGCTCAGCAGCTGATCGTGGGTGCCTTGCTCGGCCACGACACCTTTTTTCATCACGACGATCCTTGAGGGCGCTTCAGTAGCATGTTGCGTTTAGGGTTTAGGGTTTAGGGTTTAGGGTTTAGGGTTTAGGGAGTTTAGGGGTTAGGGTTCAGGGTTTGGGGCTCGCACATGATTGTCTTGGATAGGTTAACGTCTGAAACGCATCCAAGACGCAAATCGGCGTCCTTGATCGTTGTCAGACGATGGGCGATGACAAGCGCAGAGCCCCTGCGGGCCAACTTGTCCAAAGCTGCCTGAACTGGGGGTGTTCCCCCAATTTTAGGTTTAGGGTTTAGGGTTTAGGGTTTAGGGTTTAGGGTTTAGGGCTTAGAGCTTAGGGTTTAGGGTGCTTAATGGGGATGATAATAGGGGAGTACTATAGTCCCGATTAAGGATTGTTCCCCCCTATACTAGCAATCCTTAATAGGGATTATAGTAGGGGGGGTACGATAATCCCCAGTAAGGACTGTTAGTGTAAGGCGGATTGTTCCCCCTTATACCCTTATACTAGCAGTCCTCAATAGGGATTATAGTAGGGGGGGGGGGGTACTATAATCCCCAGTAAGGACTGTTAGTGTAAGGGGGAACATCCCAAGCCTGAACGATCTTCTCGTTCTTGTTGTCCAGCGCACTCGTGGCCTCGTCCAACAGGATGATGTCTGGGTCCCGAATCATGGCGCGGGCAATGGACACCCGCTGCGTCTGCCCGCCACTCAGGGAGATGCCGCCGCTGCCCAATTTCGTGAGAAGCTGGTCCTGGATCGCGATGGGAAAGCTCCGCAGGAGATATTCACACAAGGCAGCCTCGTATTCACGCTCACACACACACGTCACAAAACCAGCAAGAACATACCTAGAGCGGCCTATATGCCTGAAAAGTTGAAGGTAACTCCCTCTTTTGAGGGGCATATTACTGTACAAAGGTTGCTGTAGGCGCAGTCAAATCACGACTTGGGATGTTCCACCTTCTTCTAACCGATATCACAATCCCTATCGAGGCCTGTTAGTATAAAGGGGGAACATCCCAACCCCAAACCCTAAACCCTGAACCCCTAAACCCTAATCCCTAAACCCTTCATCCCACAACACGACCCTGGACTGTCCGGCTTGTTCTTGATGCCATTGTCGCCATCCCAGAGCGAAGCTGCCTGCAAGACGTCAATGACCTCCTCATCCTTATCTGCTCCTGCAAGCCCTGTAAAAAACCTTAAACCCTAAACCCTAAACCCCAAACCCGAAACCCTAGACCATAAACCTTCAAAAACATCGACAAAAACACACCAGGAACGGTCCAAGTATCGCTAACGTCATGCTGCAGACCGTAAGTAATGTTTTCGCGCACGGAGGTGGCAAATAAAACTGGCTTTTGGTCCACAATCACTACCTTCGGGACCAATTATGAACCTGAAGGTTTCTTTTTAGGGCAGGAAATACAGTATTGTAGGGTATATAATGTGGTCCCCAAGATACACGAGAACGCAGGGCATTCACATTGTACTCACGCAAGTCAACTCCATCCAGGCGGATGCTGCCATGATCTGGGTCATAAAGACGTTGCAGCAAGGCCATACAGGATGACTTGCCTGGGTTGCTGGTGAGGGTTTAGGGTTTAGGGTTTAGGGTTTAGGGTTTAGGGTTTAGGGTTTGGGGTTAAGGGTTAAGGGTCTAGGGTCATTATGATGTCAAACAGCCAGTTCCTTTAGCGCAACCCAGTTTCCACATCCTGCTTCCCCGACGAGTGCAACCTGCGCGTTGATCTATTCTTTGAGCACAGAACTGTCACGAAACTACAAATCCTCATGACCTGCGGTTATCAACTGATCACGGCACAACCACTAAACCCTAAACCCTAAACCCTAAGCGCTAAACCCTAAACCCTAAACCCTAAACCCAGGTATATACCCTAAACATCACAGACCCACCTTGCACTTGGGATTCACCGTCATGGTCAGGCCATTCAGGACTGGCTTCCGCCGGTCCGTCGGATATCCTTGTAGCCCAGCAACCATAATAAGGGTTTAGGGTTTTAGGGTTTAGGGTTTAGGGTTTCGGGTTTAGGGGGAACCCTTTTAGGGGTTGGCGATGTCCATAAAGGGCCCCAGAAGACCGAAAAGGGTAAACGGGCACCACTCAGCTTCCTAGTTCCTAAAACAAAACACTGCCAAGCATCGAAAGAAGACATTGTCAAACTCGATCTTGCCCGCGAAATGCCAGGGAACCTTCTGAACGCTGAAGTGCATCGTCAAGGGAAAAGACACATCGCGCTCCAAAAGAGATGCCTTGCCTTACTTCTGCAAGCGGTTTGGGGTTTAGGGTTTAGGGCTTAGGGTTTAAGGGTCGTACAATGTTCTAAATTTGAAGGATGCCTACACCCGAACTGAAATCCTAAAAATCAAGTCAGTTGCTGGTCATCGCGTACTCCCGCGACGAAAATTCGTAAGACAGGATGGCCAGGCCGTGAGAGAGAGGAGGCTCACCGTCCTTGAAGGCAGAGGGTTTAGGGTTTGGGGTTTAGGGTTTAGGGTTTAGGGTCCATGTCCTCATATCGGTAACTCTTGGGCCGTAAAGTATCGGTTGTGTAGGAACTTTGGGGCCCAAGTATACAGTCATGAGGTACCTGGACCCTTGGGAACCACGAAACTTGGTTTATGGTTTAGCGTTTCGGTCGTGTAGTCCATGCTAAGGTGGATGAGACGCAAAATAGATGCATGGAAAAGTTGGTTAGGAAGCATACTCCCTCTAGTACTACAATAATTAAGAAGGCAGATGGAACCCTATACCCTAAACCCCAAACCCCAAACCCCAAACCCTGAACCCGAAGCCCCAAACCCCAACCCCAAAACCCCAAACCCCAACCCGAAACACTAAACCCCAAACCCTAAACCCCAAACCCTAAACCCCAAACCCCAAAACCAAACCCCAAACCCCAAAACCCTAAACCCCAACCCCAAAAGGGTTGGCCTTACACCCTAAACCCTAAACCCTAAACCCTAAACCCTAAACCCTAAACCCCACATCCCAAGGGTCTTGCAGGTCCAAATCCTCTCCCAAGATGGTCAACTCACGGTGCCGCACCTCGTCCTTGACCTCAGCGGTTCAGTAACCCAAAGGGTCCATGAATCTCATTTAGGGTTTAGGGTTTAGGGTTTAGGGTTTAGGGTTTAGGGTACTTCATTGTTGTGTTTTTGGGCCCCAGTCCCTACATAGGAGGTGCTTGAGGGCCCAGGTATTCCCCTGTCTAGGCATATGGGCTCTTAAGGTGTAGATAAAAAGCTAATTGCACGAACACCTTCACCGTCCGTGTTTTTTGGTTGTCTATTTTCATTGTTTTTCTTTATCTTCATTGCGTGTATGTATGTACGTATGTACGTATGTATACGTATGTATACGTATGTATACGTATGTATACGTATGTACGTATGTACGTATGTACGCATGTACGTGTGTACGTATGTAGGTATGTAGGTATGTAGGTATGTAGGTATGTAGGTATGTAGGTATGTAGGTATGTCTGTAGCCAGGACTTGCGGTTGGGGGTTCTGGGCGTGTGTATATATATACATACACATGAGTATATGTGCTCACATGTTGCATGTCACATTTTACATAAGATGTCAATTACATACATATTCACATGCAACACCACAGCACAATACAATCTAGCACGCGTAGCTTGCTTCACAACTCAATGATTCAATGATGCACAAGAGACGATGTGCATTCACTAGACCCCAAACCTTCAACCCTAGGCCCTAAACCCTAAACCCGAAACCCACAAACTGAAACCCAAGGCCCTTAAGGCTTCTGTACTAGGCGAGCCGCTGTCTTGCACTTCCTCAGAACAGCCTTGAGATGCTGTCGGCATGTCACGGTGAGCACCCGACGCCGTCCGCTGACCTCGACGTTTCGTATTGGGTAGAGGTAGGTTACCCTAAGGGTCCCATGTACCTGAACAGGGAATCCTTGGGCTAAAGTACCTGCAATACAGGGACTTTGGGGCCCAAGCATACAATAATGAGGTGCATGGACCCTTAGGGTTAACTACTTTAGGTACAGAGGGCTTCAGGTGAAGGATGTTGGGGTTGAGGGCCAAAGGCCGTTCAAAGAAGAACGATGGTTACCGCAAACCTGCGTTTGTACAGTCATGCTTCACCTGTCTAGGCAGATCTTGTTTCACCTTTTGGGAGCCTTTCTTCTTCTGCCTGTTCTTCTTCGTGCGTTGCTTTGTCGTCTTGCCGGGACTTGGGGGGTGGTGGCGGCTTCTAAGCACGTCCTTGGTGTCTTGGAGAGCACGATATTTGGCTTCTTGCTTTCACTAACCCCGATTTCTTTGTTTCACGTACACATCTTTGGTGATCACCTCTAATTCATGCTTTTGGGCACAGATGACGCCTGCATCGGTAGCTGATGGCTTTCTTTCGCTTTGTTCATGGGCTCTTCTTGCTT